TATTCCAAGGTTCAGCAAAACAGTCTGTACTCCAAGCCATGACAAGGGTTGAGTTTGGTGTTTTATGGCGCAAGGGCCAGTTTTGACTATACTGCGCCAAACATTTATAGGTCTGTGGTCTGGACGGGAAAAGAAGAAAAGAAGAAATTGGATGACAAGATGGAGGGTCGAAAATAGAGAAGGATCACTGGGGTACCCCGGGGTCGTGACACCCGTGTTTACCAAAGATAGTAAACCCCTTGGGAAAAGGAAAAGGGTACCTCGGGATTGTGACACCCGTACCCACCTAAAGAAGATGAGCCCCCTGAGGGGCAAGCCATGACAAGAAGAGATCTCTTTCAGCGTTGATCAGCAGCAAGTGAGTCGTTAGTACACGTGTCTTTTTTAAGTCCGGCGAAAGTAGAAGTCAAAGTTCTTATGCGGGAGGTGGATTGAGTTGTCCTGGTATGAAGTTTACCCCAACTGACACTTGAAGGGCTGGGGATTCATCATCATCTTCATATATATATATATATATATATATAGTAATACTTCAAACTTACGCGATTGGTGTGACCGAGTGATAACTAATTAAGTTGAATTCGCGTAAGTCGGGGTATAATTTTGCATATCAATACACATAAATTAATTTAAGTTGGGACCGAAGATGAAAGAATATAATAATATTAAAAAAAAATGTTTGAAAAAAATTTAGATAACACAAATACAAAACTGCAAAGTGAAATTATTTTGATATAGAAGGTTTCATAAAATCTAACAAGTTGTCCGCCGGCTCAATGATTTTTTTTTCTACAGCAAAATTTTCTCGTAGCATATTAATATTTTTTTTTATTCCTTGTTTTGTTGAAAAAATATGCTCATCGTTAGAATCTCTATATTTTCTAAAAAAATTGTAGCCTTTTTTCAATTAAACTGAGGCCTTCTCTCAAATTACCAGCCGCCATTCGATCTTCTGACTGAAATGAGTCCAAAGACAAGTTCTTCAACGTCTTGCTCTTGTTCATGCATTTCTATGAGCTCATCCATTGTCAGCTCCTGATAGTGGGAATTGAGCAGTTCTTGAATTGCCACACTATTACTTCCAGATGCATTTGCTTGGCAAGATCAACAATTTCTTCAATCACATTATCAATTTCATCAGGCCTTAGCACTGATTTCTCCTAAGTGTGTTTCAGTGATGGAAAAAAACCCGAATTGCTGATATTTAAAAATCGCGTAAGTCGAGGTATTACTGTATATGCACATGGAATATTCAGTCTCAAATTAAGTATAGATAAAACATGAAGGCAAATAAATTCATAATTTTGTTAAATAGATTTTTAATCAATGACATTTGTTGTTTACTAAATTAAAAATGCATTCATTTGAGTTTTATTTTAATATTGTATCAGTAGTTTCTAGTCTAAAAACAATATAGTTTATTTTCCTTTTTTCTAATAAAATTTATCTGAGTACATTTCCCTTTCTTTAGAAACATACTGCTTAGATTCTTATTATTTTTGATTTTTAAATTGTAAAATGAAACTATAACACTCAATCTATACCTTTTCATGGATATATTTTGCATTTAACCAAAGAACTTGCTATTTTTCGATTATTTTTGCGAGAGAAAAGAGAGCAAATTTACTTATTCATATTTTAAACTTTATTCAAAATGTAACTGAATATTTTCCTTAGGATTTAAAGCAATATTCTTAATTGTTTAAAAAAATCATTTTTTTTTTAAAAAAACATTTTTTAAAAAAATTAATACAAAATATTAGGAACGTTTTAAAACAAACTGCATCGAAGTATGGCAGTAATTATGCTCTGAACAATAAAAAACTTAAATGTCAGCAAGGGGGGGAGGGGAGGATTTTCCCTTTAAAAATGATGTAAGCAAACAAAATTTTTGTAAGCTTATGCTTGAACTTGGTTGTTTGATTACTTTTTTTATTAGCATCGTACTTCGAATCAACACAAGGGCTATTAGCGACGAACCTCGCAATTTTAAATCATTGTTCAATGACGAGGGTGATACCTGAGTTGACCCTCCACACTCCAAATTCTGTTTCGATCTGGGACATACTATTTAATTTTTGTTTATTATAAGGGACTAGATAAAAAAAAAGTGTGTGTGTACTTATGTACGCACTTAAGAAGTTATACTTCTTTGACGTAACAAGATTAAAATCTTTCTAAAAATCTTTAGCAGGGCAAGCTGGGCCAAGGTCGAAAGGCGGTCACGAACAGAGTTGAACGATACTAACCTTCAGTGTCAATCGGACCAGCCAAATCTGAGATAATCACGATTTAAATAAATTTAAACACCCCCGCACAGGGACAATAGGACCAATAATATGC